ACTCTATCAACCATGGAAACATAACTCGACAAAGAGCAACCAATAATATCGACACTCGCGTCGTTTCAGGACAAACAAGCAATTTCAGCGCATCAGGAATAATCACCAAAGGACTACTTGTTCTATGAAACACTAGCTTTCGGTAAGTTTAGTTTTCCTTCCATTAGCCGCTCCGTCGCGAAAAGTACGTCACAATTCTTTGAATTGGCGGTTCAAAGAATACTCAGGCAGCGTTTCGTGTCAAATCAAATCCAAAAACAGTAGCATTTTCTAACACGCCCTTATACTAGTCGATGAGGGATTTGTGTATAAAAACCAAGAGCTAGTATTCCGCGTCAATATTTAACATTAATGCTCTATACTAGTCGGCATAAAACATGTGCTAACACGATCAGAGACTTGTATTCGTATCACTCTCACAAGTAATATTGTTCAATTAACAGCATATACAGTGATCAATAGAAAAAAAATAAAAAAAATATCTTTAGAAATTGTATGACTCATTAGGTACAGTATCGATGTATTTTTTCTTCAAAACTATAATACTTGTATACTTCATACCATTGCACAGTTGTTTGTTGTAATACCTCCCATAAAACTCTTTGAGCTCGAGGACGAGCTCTTTTCTGAAAGGAGCGAGTAGACGAGTAGTGAGACAAACAACTACGATCATGGTTTGTTATATTTCGCAAACGTAACCAATGACTCATTGTACCATGCAATCAAACTCTCTCGACGTCATGTATGGCTTCCCTCATCCTCATACAGTCTCACCATATTACATCAGTTTCGCTGGAATTATGTTTCGAGTATCACTGTTTCGGAACACTCTGCCACGTTCCTCTTCCTTCAAGGCCAATGGAATAATGCTCGAAGCTCGAGGGCGAGCTTACTGTAAGAAATGGAGATGTCGTATCCATCGTATAGCAGCCGAAAGCTCACGGCGGAGGATGTAGTCACGGCCAACTGTCCGTAGACTCCTCCGCAGTCAGCCTGATGTAACAGCATGGATAGGCGAGTATATAAGTCGCCAGCCAGAGACATGAGTAGTCTCGTCTACCAAGCAGTTACAACATCCTCTCGTCTACCAAGGCAGTGCCTCTGGCCTGCTTCCCTCGACTTGTTCGCCCTTCTGCTACTTGTTATTGTTAATAAATAAATATATATATATAAGTCGCTCCTTGTTAGCTAATTGCTAACACCCGCCTACACCCATCGAATAAGGCTTAGCTAAGCCTCAAGTCTGATGAAGTGTCTGAGTGGGATTAAACTTCTGAGATTCCCAAAAACGTAGAAGGAGGCTCCTGTAAATTCCCCGTTTGGTTTGAAGTATGTTTTAAGCGGTTTCAATAGCCTCGATTGCATTGGTCATTTCTCCAATCAAGTGATGTTCTCATTCCTACGAATGTCTCGTGTATCGTGAACCTAATCGCGATGATGACGCGCCCCAGCGCAATGACCGCGACGCGACCGTTCGCCCCTCGCTGATGTGAAATGTTCGCTTGGCATTTAAGTTCTTCTGACGTGACTCAAATCTCCAACAGTGTGAAGTTCTAGTGTGATTTCAGGGCTTTTGTGTCAACTGGATGTTTTCTTTCTGCGAGGCTCTGGGGTATTTCTCACCGGATCCCCTGCCCGAATTCGAAGGGTGAGAAATGAGTAAGAGAGAAGGAAGGAAGAGAAGGATTATGAGGGGAAGAAAGGAAGAAGGCGACGGTTGAGAAACATCCTTAGTTACCTGGAGGATAACACGTGCAGATGTTGAAATACTTTCCAGGATTTTCTTTTTCACAGATGTCCCGACTCGGTTACATTCTATCTAAACACGATGCGCTCGCTATACCTAAGTGTGGAACGGCTGCAAAATCACGGGTAATGATTTTTTTTCTTTGTGTCACGATGATCGATTTGCATCGGTGACAAAGTTCTATGAGCATATAATCGATTGTGCAAGAAAATTGGCTGCATTTATTGAGTACTGATTCAACGTGTCTTTTTTGATCGTCTGCCAACTCACGAATTTCTCAAATGTTGTATTATTGTGCGTGTTTTGTTTCACTTTGTACATATCGTAGATTATGCCGCATCTATGCACACATCGACATTCCTTCTTTCAGGCTATCGAGTCGAGGATCAAGAAGTTTGGAAGTATTCTTGCGTCAGTTCTGTCTTATATGATACTTAATATTATAAATTCATGCATATAGACTACTTTACAGTGAAGTAACAAAAAACGGATGAGTAGTCTAGCCTTCTCATCGACCCATCTGCTCGATGCGTGGCGATAAGTTTAGCCTGCATAGGTACAGAATACACCATCACTTCGGCGGTGGCTCGCCAAGAGTTCTGTAAGATACGATGAACCTCTTCTGTAGGCCGCCAACTGTTCAAAAGGGGAACGTTGTGGGCGACTCAGACCGCCGAATTAAACGGATAGGTAAATCGAAGTTTTGGTATGAGGAAAAAAAACAGGAGAGAAACCACCCGCAGCTGGCCTATAATACAGGAACTGCCATTCCCAAACGCTCGCATTGTATCGTGCATGAAAGCCGAAAAAGGAGTGGTCGGAACGTATTTGTTGGTGGCCAGCTCCCCTCTCCTTATCACCTCGCTTTCACCATTCGAGATCGAGCGAGTTAGTAGCGCAAACGCGCACCATCGGGTGGGACTGAAAATTGAAGGGTGGAAGTCGCAGTGGTCAGTGGGTGGGGCCCGGTCCCGTCACTAGTGGATGACGCTTTTCCTTGGCGTATCCTGTGCAGTGTTACGAACCATAACAACCGCAGAAACATAGTTTCTCAATGTTTTGAAGTTGTCAAGGGGCACACCTCAAATTCCTTGTCGGCACCCTTTATTGAGGCCGTGATTCTGCCACACGTGTTGAGGCAAATTCCCGAGTTACTGTATCTTGGCATCGATAAATCGAATAGAGATTGTATTGTCCTTCGTATCGTGGTCTGAATTTAGGGTAATTATTGCTTGTTGAGTTAAGCGTGATATATCATCGCAGTTAGTCAGGGCGGTGTCAGGAAGGGCGGGATAAGTCCGCCCGAGGCTGTATTTCCACCAGTAGTGACTGGCCATCTATACAGGGAGAAAACAACCACAGATAGTTATAGAAATACGCCTAGGCAGCGTTCAGCCAGGCCTTCGCGCTCAGCCGGCGTTCGCGCGATCGATGCCATACGTCTCCACTTGCGGACGAGTCCGTCGTCGAACGTGCGATTCAAGCGGTGCCATCGCGAAGTCTGAATGCTGCCTTACGGTGAAGTCATCGCATGCCTCTTGATGCTTCCCGACTGTTGCGATACCAGCGGTGGATTTTAGAAAATTCTAGAAAGATTTTCTCTTTTTTCCCCAACAGAGGGTTTTCTTTTTTTTTTCTGAGAATCTTTAGCTATTCCACTAGTATAGTGAAGCGGCCGACCGTACATGGCATTAATATCTTGTAGAAATTTCGATGTTAGCATATGACAAGTCCATTGACCGGATTAACAGAACTTCATTCACCTATGCTGGACAATATGTCTGGACATATATATGAGCCACGATTCGCACCTAAACGATACGTATTGATCCGTTTCACCTGTGAAAGCTTAGTTTTGCTGGCTGATGATAGGACGGGGCAATGAGGCTGGATTTGACGCGACGCCTACCCGTTCTCCACCAGTTGTTGAAGCAGGTAAGCGACAACACTTTATGGAAAAATTACTCATTCGAAAAATATGACACAGCCTTGTCGCTTGCCCGCTTCAAGAACTGATGGGAAAAAATGGTTATCGTTGCGCCAAACTCATCCTCCCTGCCCCGCCACCCTCATCCGCGGCGAACAAGGCTTTGGTAAAAAAAGACTGTAGTGAAGAGTCACCAGCTACTGAGACAAATGTGTCAACGAGAGCTGTTAGAGGTGGCCCGAGGTATTCTCCTGTGTCCACGCACTTTCCTCCAAGTATTGCCTGCAAATTTGGTCTTACATGTTTATTCTTATATCTTGCATATTGGTAGCATCAGAGCGGTTCCTGCCGTTGGGGTGGAAGGGGGTTTTTTTGGAAAATAGGTACTGCTCTCTCTCTTCGCTGATACCCATTCTCAATGCTGCCCTGAGTTCCAAGTTCATACGACTTTGTCCCTTTTTCCGCGTAATTTTCTACTTTTTCCAAAAAGTCTGCCAGCGAAAATGGGAGTCGCTGCCAAACAACTACTGAGTTTGAAATTTTTGAGAGAAATAGTTGTGAAGAGCTGTGGCGGCGCCACTAACTATGGGGAGGCTAGAGGTTGGAGAGGGAATCACAGGCCTTTTGACTGGATTTTTAATATAGTAAAACTATGTCTCATTCGTTCAAGTTGTAATGAGCACCTTTCTTGAGATAGGAGATCCCATAGAGTATCCAATTATATCTACTTGTCCTTTCGTGTACGCGGCTACTGCTTGTATGAATGACCGGATCTGGAATATCATAATCATTTGATTAGGTGTTACCGTGGTTTCACCTATATACTCAGATTTACTATGTAAGCCTCATGGACAGGAGGGAATACAGGTTTGCAGTTGACCGGTATCATCCCAACCCCTACCCCCTTCTTCACAATCACTATTGCTCGCGTTCTACGTGGAAGTTGAGTACGTGGCGCATTCAAAGGGTCGTTTGATGTTTGTTAAGACGGCTGTAGGGTATAGTTGAAGGGCTGCATTCTCATATATAAATCGTCTGAATACTATTGCTATTGCACAGACTATGAAAAGGGCAGTGTAGGGTAGAGACAGGCAACTGAAGCCACCCACCACGCGTGCGTAAAAAGTCCAACCAACTTGCGTTCGGCTCAAGCAGGCCGTCCAACCTTCCGAGATTGGCTAATGGAACTAAACGGAACTAGGTAGATCAGTACAGAGTAGGTCACGCTGGTTCATACCATAGGTGCCCCCATATATTAAAATCACATTCGAAAACCTCGCCGATTCTGACGGAAGAAGAATCCTTGGTGCATGTGGTAATAAGGAACTGCTGATCAATGCTAGGGGCTGAATTTTAGTTTCAGCGGAAGATGGAGTACTGTGCTAAAGCCAGAAGCTTTATAACAATCAAAGACACCCTGTACACAACCTCCTTCCATGTGCGAGGGTAATGGGACCGTAGCTGCAGTAGCATCTCTTTCTCCGCTTAGAAGTGTGGAGCTGAAAGGTAAAAATACACCTAGCCTTCATTGCTTGCCCACTCTACGGCACAGCGAGCTAAATGTCTCGCTATAGCCTAACGCTCGATTTGTCTGCGCCCGCTCTCTCACTTCCGGCAGTTCTCCACCGCTGAGTGCGGGTTCCACTAGGGGACCTTCGAAT